GCAATTCATACAAAACCAATTGTTTTAACATTAATATCTTCTAATAATATTTCTATTTTTGTTATTTCTGGTTCTACTACAATACCTTAATAGATTTTTCTTTTTCCTTTTTCATTTCCTAATATCAATTCTTGTCTTCATTTGAAAAATCAATTTTTAACCTTTCTGAATTATCTTTTAAATATTTAATTATTGATGAATTTTTATCAGAATTAAATAATATATATTATAGTAATGGAATTTATAAGTCATTAGAAAATTCATTTTTAGAAGAAAATATAACTGTAAATGTTATTAAAGATTTAATAGATGAAGAATTAATTTTTATAGGAGTTAATAAAATAGATTGGAGAAAAAATATTAAGTAATCTACTAATAAATATTAGTTTATGTATGTTATTCAATATTTGTATTAATATTTTAATATTATTATTAATAAAAATGTATTTGATTACAAAATATAATTTATTTGATTTATTTATTTATTTTTAAAAAAATATATTAAATCTTTAAAATTTATAAATATATTTTATTTTATTATTTATAAAAATGACACTTGTAATTATTATTTGCAAATTGTGATATTATACCTAAATTACAATTATTATAAAAAATTTCTTTAATTTTTTGATTAATAACTTTTTATAAAGAAGTTCAATTTTGATGAAACAATTATTAAAATGTTCACCTCAATGAAGAAAATTCAATAAATTATATTTTGTAAAAATTGAATTACAGGTTAATAAAATATTAATGAAAACATAAAAATTAAAATAGAATTTATTTATTGATAAATATCAAATGATAAACATTAACTTTGTATAGAGCAGTCTAATTTTGATGAAACAACTATTAAAATGTTTACCTTAATGAGAAAAATTTAATAAGTTATATTTTGTAAAAATTAAATCACAAGTTAATAAAATCTCAATAAAAAATATAAAAAATTAGAATAGAAATTTATCTACTGATAAATACAAATGATGAACATTAACTTTGTATAGAGAGATCCAATTTTAATGAAACAATTATCAAAATGTTTGTCTTAATAAGAAAATTCTAATGAATAGATCACAAAAACTAAATCATAGGTTATTAAAATTTTGTTGTATAATATGAAAAATTATAATAAAATTTTATATTATTTATTTATTTATTTTTAAAAAAATATATTAAATCTTTAAAATTTATAAAATATATTTTCTTTATTAATTTTATTTATTTTTTAAAAATATATTAAACTTTTAAATAATTTGTAACCATTTTAGATGTAATTTAAACATATATAATTATTAAAGTATATATTGGATCATTATATATATTTATAAAATCTCAATTTCATTTCATTCAACTTTTAACAGTAATAAAAATATAATTTCTATAAGGTTAAAATTAGAGGAATAAGGTAGAAGATAAATAATATGACATTTCAATTCTTTAATAATTTCAATTAAACTTTCATCATGATAAATTTTTATAATATCAAAAATAATTATACTATTTTTTTTTGAATAAGGATTTATCAAAGGATATTAATAATAAATATTATATTAAAATATTTTTATCAATATAATAATTAATTTCCAAGAAAAAAAAAATAAATATCTATAAAATAATTATTTACTACTTGTAAAAAAACAAAATCTGTAAATCGTTTTTTATTATAATTTCCTTTTATAATATTTAAAGTTATAAATTTATCTAATGTAAGTGCAGAAAGGATTATATATCACTTTTTATAAACAAAAACTATATTTTTTTTGTATGTGTACAAGTAGGAGAGTATCTATAAAATTGTGAAAATGTACATTCATCTTTAGTACTTTTATCAAGAAAAATCAATTGTTCAGATATATAATTATTTTTAATAATTACTATAAAATTACTACAAACTATTTTATTTCTTTTATAAGTAACCTTTTGTAACTTTAAAAAAAAATATTATTAAAAAAATGTTATAATGTTTATAATATAAAAATAGTAATCTAATAATAATCAAATCTTTTTATGAGTTATATCACAATATTATAAAAAATATTATAATATTGATACAGGTAAAAATTTTTCAATTTAATTTTCATTTTTACTAAAAGTTTATCTAAATACCAGTTAACTTTTTCTTTTACAAGTTGTTAAAATATTTGAAGTTCTTTTCTTGTTAATTTCTTTTTATATTCAGATGCTTCTTTGAAAAGATTTATTACACAATCTCATTTCGTAAATGTTTTGAGAATATAATTTACAGTAGATTTACTAATTGATAAAGTTTTGAAAATTTCTTGTTTATTATAATTTTACTATCTAAATAAACTATTCGTCAATATAGGTTTTTACTATATTCTCTTGGTATTTATAAATTAAAAACTGATTAGAGAATATTTGTAATCTTATAATCTTTCAAAATTGCAGATAGTAACCTTTAAAATTAAAGGCAAGAAATTTATTATTATATATTTAAAACTCAATAAAAATAAATGTTGATATGTAAACAAGAAAATATAATATAAAAATACATTTTTTATTAATTTAAAATATTTTTATTATGAATGATCATTCAGTATTTACAGTATCTGCAGTAATTTTTTTGTAACACAAATATCAGATTGAACCATTTCAAAAATAGTAATAATAAAAAAATAATATTTTTTTTTTATTCAAATTGTTATTATTATATAACTTATTTAGTTATTTAATTAAATTTTTTTTATTTTATATTGTATATTAATTATTATTCATTAGGAAATTTTTAAAAATAAATATATTTAGATATATTTGAATTTATAAATATATTTAGATTATACTTGTACGCAAAATTATTTTGAAACTCCAAAATTACAATTTCAGAAAAAAAAGTTGAAATAGTTTTTCATAGAAGACAAAATTATTTTACTTAAAATCCAAAATTTTTTGACCACTCAGATTTATTCTTTGATTAAATATCACATAACTGGATATTTTTTACTTCCATATATAGAATAGATTTTACATAAATCTCAAAAAGTCAAAATACCTCAAAAATTTAAAACTAATTTTGGAAACATGTATAATTTAGATATATTTAATTATTCATACATTAAAATATTCAAATTTATCTACAAATATATTCAGATTATACATGTTTACAAAATTGATTTTGAATTTTTAATATATTTTGTCTCCTTAAACTTTATACAAAAATCTAATCTATATATAGAAGTCAAAAAAGTATCTAGTTAAGTATATTTTTAATTAAAGAATAAAAATCAAGTTTTAAGAAAAATTTATCTTCTATATAAAATAATTTTATCTTCTATGAAAAACTATTTTGACTTTTGGATTCCAAAATATTTCAACTTACTATAATAACCTATTTTGTATACAAGTATAATTCAAATATATTTGTATAAATTTGCATATGTAAATTTATTCAGATATATCTGTAAATTTATTTGAATATATTTGTAAATATATTTGAATTTATTTAAATATATCTGAATTTATTTACATATTATGTAAATTTATTTAAATAAAGTTGTAAAATATATGAATATATATAAATTTATTCAGATATATTTACTCTTAAAAATTTTCTAATATTATAACTAATAGTATTGCTATTAAATTATTACAGTAATTTTTCTTCTGTAATATAGTCTATTTTTTTGTATTTAACTTATATTAACAATATCTAATATTTCAGTAATTAACTTGTATAATATAAGTTTTTAATGATTTTCTTCTATAGAATTAATTTTAAAAAAGTAATTGTAAATATTAATTATTATTAATTTTTTATTTTCTGTTAACAGTGTACTATTTTATTAATGTAAAAAATTTACAATAGATCCATTTGATTATATTCTATATTAGTTAATGAACTCTTTAATATAATAAGCAAGTTATAATAAAAAATAAGAATCAATAATATTTGTCATTAGAAATAAAGAAGTGACAAATAAACTTTTAAATAGATTTTCAAATGGATTTTGAAATCAAGTTACAGTGAACCTTCTATAAATGTATCCTTCAGAAAATTAACAATAGAATATATTTATAAAGGGATACATTTATAAAACTTCAATTCTGATCACTTGCAAAACTATAGACCAATAAAAATCCAAAGTGCACAGAATAAGAATCAATCTCTGGTACATTAATTATTATTATATAATATGGGTATATAAATTACATGAGTGTATTTATAAAAGATTAATATTCATATAATTGGAAAACAAAAATTTATTACACTGTGCAAATGAGAAGAGTGCAAAAAGCAATTATTCTTCAATGTGGGGATTGGATTAAAGGGTGCATTTAAGAAGGGATATACTTATAGAAGGTAAATTTATAAAAGATTCACTGTACTAAGATCTTGAGCCCTTGATATATTTTTATTCTGCTCAAGTAATGATAAAACACCTTTCAAAATTGTACCTAAAGATATAGTTTTTGATAGATAAATGGAATATGTTAAATTAGTGTTATGTAAATAAATATTTGTATCTTATTTAATGCTAATAAAGTATATCCATATAATTGAGAGCTAAAAAAAAAAAAAAAAAGAGTTCAATAAGTTATTTATTAATTATTTTTATTTTTTGTTAAAATGAAAAAATTTTGGCATTAAATAAAATTAAGGGGTATCATTAACACAAAGTTGACATATATAAAGAAACTCTCACACTAGTGAAGTTTCAATAACATTGTTTTTGGTGTAAGTTGTTAGTAGAACTAATTCAATACCTGTAATTTTGTATGGAAAATTGCGAATATTAAGACTTTAAAAACTATATAGCATATATTGTAGTTATTATATCTAATTAATAAGAAAAAAATGGAAGAAATAAGAAATTTTATTAGTACTGTCAAATTTTTTTATATGTATGAAATTTATTATTTCAATATTTTTGGCAATGCTGTAATGCCGGCCCCATTGTAAATAGTCCCACAATATTATTTTAGGTTTAATTATTTTATTGCATAAATAATAACCAAATGATATCTAAATAATATGAAATAATATGGCCGCTATCACTTCTTCTTCTACTATTTCTTATAATTTAAGGAGTCCAGGTTTATTATTATTGATTAAATAATCAAAATGATATTAATAAAATATAATTAATAAAAAAATGGAATTATTAAAAATAAAAAATGTGATAAACTATTAATAGAATTAATTAATTGTTAGCCGTAAAACGACTTTTACAAGAAGCTCGAGAATTACAACAAGATCAGTGTGGCGATTATACAGCTCAACCACTAGAGGTTAGAATATAAAAATATTTTAGATCTCCTTTTCAATTATATATATTTTTTTTTTTTTTAAAAAAAATTAAGATATATAAAAAGGAATAATTTTTAAAATCAAATTTTAAAAAAAATTTTTAGGATAATTTATTTGAATGGCATTTTGTGATTCGTGGTCCCGAAGATACGGAATTTTCAGGCGGAAGGTGAATAAAAATCATCCTACTCCTAATATAATATAAATAGATTAATTAATTAATCGGAATTATTTTAATTTTTAAATAATTTTTTTTATTATAATTGATGTGATGAATTCTTTCGTTTAGATATCATGGACGTATACTTTTACCTTCAGAATATCCTTTTAAGCCACCTAATTTGATGCTTTTAACTGTACGAAATATTTTTAATTTAAATAAATTTACATTCATTTATAATAATTAATTAATTAATTAATATTCATTTATAATAATAATTTATATTTCATTATTATTAATTATTATTATATTTATTATAATGATTATATTCATATTCATTAATAATAATAATAATAATAATAATAATAATAATAATAATTTATAACAGCCAAATGGTAGATTCGAACTTAATAAAAAAATATGTCTAAACATTACAGGGTTTCATCCGGAATATTGGTTACCAGCTTGGGGAAGTACGTATTTATTTATCTACTTAATTTGCTTAATTGAATATTATCAAAATTTTTTAAAATATTTTTAAATAAATATTAGTTCGTACAGTTCTTTTAGGTTTGATTGGATTTTTAACAACTAAAGGTAATTAAGAGGAAATTTAATATTAATAATATTAATACTTATTAATTGTTATTTATCGTTATTAATGGTTATTATTGGTTATTAATGGTTGTTAACGGTTATTAATTTATTATTTATTATTATATATATATAAATATAACATAGCAAATGGTGCCATTGGAGGAATCGATTATACAGAATCTGAAAGAAAAATATTAGCTCAAAGGTGAATTTAAAATTAAAGTCAACAAAATAGCAATTTAATTAAATTTTAATTTAATTTGGATATTTTTTTTTTAGATCACGTAATTGGAAATGTTCTATATGTGATATTTCTAATATTGATTTATTACCGGACGATAATAATAATAATAATAATAATAATAATAAGGATAACAATGAGAATAATGTAACCGAAAAAAATGTAAAAGATAAAAAGTCCAAGGATAATAATAATGGTAATAATGACGAAAATATGCCATTATTTTCTTTTACGTATGAAGATGATAAAAATAATAATAATAAAAATAATAATAATGATACATCACCTCCTAAAGGTAATTCTTAATTATATTATAAATATAATTAGTATGTGTATATATATATATATATATATTCTAATATAATATAATATAATATATATTCTAATAATTTAGATTCAGCTGAGTCATTACCTTCTAATTCCAATGAATCCAGTGAATCCACAAGTTCTAATTCCATTTCCAGTTCCAGTCAATCTACGAGCAATCCTACTCCCGCTTCTAGTTCCAGTTCCATTCCTAAAAGCAATGTTGTACAGTCTTCACCATCAAGATCATCATCAAGGTCATCATTAATTATGTTAGATACATTAATTACAATTTTGGTCGTTCTGGTGTTGGGCTTAATTATTAAAAAATTCTTTTAAATTAATTTATATAATAATAAAATAAACAAATTGTAATAACAATTTGTAATAATAATTTATAATTAACAATAAAGATTAACTCTTTTTTAAATAATAACAACAAATTTTTTATAATAATAATAATAATAATAATAATAATAATAACAACAACAAATTTTTTATCATAATAATAATAATAATTTGATTTGAAAGAACTATTCCCGCAGCATCACGAGAAATAATCAACTTAAAAAGGAGATTACTATTATTACATCATTATTATTTCATAAAGAAATAAATAAATGACCACTCACATTATTATTATTGAGTTACTTAATTGTATTATTTTTAACATATGCGTGATGATTGATGATAAGATAACTTTGATTTTTTTTGACTTTAATCGTTGCACAGAGAAATGTAATTTTAATTTAATTGTTGGTGTGTCATTTGATTTATTAATCAAAAAAGAATTTTCTTCAACATTTTTAATGCAAGGAGATATTACAGTATATCATTATTGTTATAGATAAGATAATGATTGATCTGATAATATTATTTCGTTCAAGGAATTCAATGAATGAAATGAATGAAATAAATGAATGCTGTCATCCTTAAAATTGTTATTTTTTTTTTTTATTTATATTATTTTTAATTATTTTATATTATTATTATTATTATCTCTTTCATTAAATTGAAATAAAGCAAAGAAAATCAATTGTAAGATATAAACAAATAATTTTAAACATTTGATTGATTCAAAAAATAACAACAATTGGTAATTTATTTATCTTTGTTTTAAAATGGGAAATATCTTTTATCTTATCTTTTTTACTTTTCTTTATTAAAAAAGAAATCAACATGTTTGATAACTTGAATAAAATAAATAAAACTGTGTTATTATTGTTGTTATCTTTCACCAACGAAAAAAATCAAAAAAAAAATACGCATAATTATATTTCCATGCGTTATCTCGTAGGTAAACAAATCATAAATTCTTACACAACATAAAACGCACAACATAAATCTAAATTTAATGAAATGACTTGGATTCCAACATGTGAAATGACATCATTTAAATTTTATTGTATTGGTTAACATTGGTAAAAAAAATTTATTACTTTAAATATAACTGTAAATAATGCAACAACGCTAGTTACCGTAGGTTTTAAAGGAATTCGCTAAGGATTCTTCCTTTCATGATTACAAAGTTAATTTCATTACCTTATATTTATATTATTATTCACTGTATATATTTACCGTATATCGTCTATTTACTGATATTACTATGTAAACATTTCTTACATTCCTACATTTCCTAATATCTTTCTTTGTAAAATGTCGTATAATTACTCAAAAGGTAATAGTAAAATTATATGACGGCGGATTTGTGCGTCAATTTTGATATGCGAATTTAAATAAATTATATATATATATTTTTATATTATGTGATTTATTTCATCATACACATAATTTGATTTATTTTTAAAAAAATACTGGTAGTAAAAAAAAATATAGATAGTAAGAACATGTAAAAAACAGAGCAAGAAAAAACGGGCAGATATTGCACAACAGAACTAACGGCAACAGTAACGCAATAACGTTGGCGGAAATATATATATATTTATATATATATATTTATTTATTTATAAGACAAAATGATAAAATAAGATAAAATAAAGATAAAATAAAGATAAAATAAAGATAAAATAAATGGGAATTAAAAAAATGTGAAATGTGAAATGTGACCAAATCATTAATTATTGTAATATCATCATCTTACATATTTATTATTAAATTTTATTTAATATATTATAGATAAGAAAAACAAAATGTAATATTTTTATGTACTGTGTATGACATGCAGAATGACAATATTACAAATATTACCATTTAGTTAATTTCTTATCTTATCTGAAATGAAATATTTAAACAATCAATTTTGTATAACAGAAGAAGATTTTATTGCAGCAAGGTACAAGATAAGAAAAAATTTTTAAGCAATTTTTTTTTTTTGGTTGTTAGATAAGCAAATGTTATTATATTTTATGTTTAATTTTGGTTAATTTGATTTATAATGTTTATTAAATTTGTAGCTATTATTATGGTATAAAAAAAAAGAACAAAGAATGAATAACTAAAGATCCGCAAGACATATTTTTGATTAAATAAATCGACGGATAAAAAAAGAACAGATGATATAGTCATATCATATTGTATATTATGACAAAATAATAAAGAGGAAATGACCATAAAAATGATCATAATAAAAAAAAAAATGAATAAAAATTAGTAGACACATGGTTCGAAGTGAGCATAAATATTTTGCAGAACAACGGATGATTGCTTGCTGCAAAGAAATGAAAAAATGAAAAAAATGAATTCCATGCGATCAAAAGAATTATTGTTTATGGATTGCTTTTTCATTCATTCAGTCATTCATTTCATTTCATTTTGTTTATTTATTTTAATTTAAAAAATTATAATTAAAAATTATACATACAATACAATGTGTGTGGAGAGGAAGAAATATATATATGTAATTTACAATAAATAATTTATAAATTTATAATAATTATATATTGGTGATAAGGTGATTATATCGTTATCTCCACGTTACATGATTCGGAATAACTAATGCTTCTCGTTACCGTGATTCGGGAATAATTAATGTAACCATTTCCCATTTATCATCCATCCATTTATCCATCATTTATCATTTATTAATTTATTAATTTATTAATTCATTTTTATTAAATTCATAAGATAATTTATTAATTTATTATTTCATTTATTAATTTATTTATCCATTAATTATCACGTGATGTTTCCATCAATCGTATAAATAAATATATATGATTCAAATTTCGACTTTGATAATAATTGGATAACATTATATAATAATAAATAATATTGCATAATATTAAATATTAGGTTGTTATTATCGATTATTAATAGGTTTTAATAATTGATTCCATCATTCTTATCTGGTCATACCTAGTGAAAAACTGTCATTCAGAAATAAAAAAAAAAATGATTCGGCAATGTCGGTTCGGTAATTAACGGCATATTAAAAACGTATTTGTATAAAACGTATATGGCGTTGTCTACTGTTACTTATCTGTTATTGTTACTGTTACTTTTTTATTGTTACTGTTACTTTTTTATTGTTACTGTTATTGTTACTTTATTTGATTTATTGTTACCTGTTTACTGTCCCACTTGTCGATACTTTTTATTGTTACCGTTTTTACTCGTTTTCATCATTACCGTTGTAAATATTTACTTTATTATTATTATAAATAACTTTTTGGTTACGGTTACTTTTTGTTTTGTGTTGTTCTTGAATTTTTTTTTTTTTTTATAAAAATATAAAAATATGAATAAAATGGAAATCTAAATGAGTATATATAAAAAACCACAAAATGAAAAATTGTATCCATGAAACTCTTATTTCGGTCGGAAAATATATTTGATTATTTGGTAATTAATAATAAAAAGTAATACATAATTATTATATATTACCTATCTTTATTAATTATTAATTATTATTATTATTAAATTTCTCCGAATTTTTTTCCGTTTAGGTAATTCCCAAATTTCATTAAATTTTCTTTTCTCTCCAATATTTTAATATTTTTTTTTTAATATTTTTTTTCAATCATTTTCTATATCACTTTAATATTCTTATCACGTCGATTTCCAATATCACGTTAAATCCCCTCCATCACATTGATATTTCTCACTTTTTTAAATTATTTAAATTTCACATGAAATTTAAAATACGCCTTCCTTCTTAATCCCTCTTAAATCCCTCTTAAATAATGAATAATGAATAATGAATAATAATAATAATAATAATAATAACAAAGTAATAACTTAAAGTAATAATAATAATAATAAAAAATAAAAAATAAAAAATAAATGTTTGGGATAAAAACGTGGTGTTGTACAAATATTTAAGCCCGACTACCAAAAAACTTGTTCTTTGATGTATTTGAACATGTGCATTTTTTTTTATAATGTGTACATATTAATGTTATGTAAGAATTTTGAAATTTTCGTACGTTGGATGGAAGAGGAAATTTTCGAGTTAAGCGTTTTTTAGGATGTTTTTCACACAATCGATTTTCTCAATACCATTATCTAAATATTCGTCCTTTCAATTTTATGCTTAACTTGATATTTTTTTTTTTTATGCTTAATAAAACTGGAAAATGGTCCGTAAATCTTTTTTTCTTGTTTCTTTAATTATTATTATCATTATTTTATTTATTTATTTATTATTTATTATGATGATGATGATTATTATTATTATATTTAAGGAAAAGTCAAATTAATCAAATTTCTTTCTTTACGTTAAAAAATCATTTCGTTGTAATTAATCGACGCGTTTTCCGTGGTGGTTAAAGATTATTTATTTTGAGAATTTATATTTTTTTAAATATAATATATTTTTTCATTTGATGGGTGATTTAAGATATTTCGTGTTAATCTTTATTTAACTAAATTTGGATCCAAAATAATTAAAGTTTGATTAATATTGTTTGTTTGGTTTGTTAGTTTTGTTAGGTAAAAAAAAATATAACTAAAAAAATATATATATATAAATATAACTAAAAAAAAAACATAATAATAACCTAAAAAATATTTAGTTAAAACAAAAAAACATACGCCCACTTTTACCCAAATTTTCTCAAAATCACGTTAACCTCCTAACCTCTTTTTCACACTTTTTTTTTTAAATTTTTTTTTTTTTTTGTATCAAACATTTTTATATTTGTCGATAAATAAGTAGCTGCCATCTGAAACAACGGGATTTTCTTTATATCCATTATTCGTCACAAAACCGCTCAAACGTATAATAAATCTGAGAATGCAAAAAGTAAAAGCTGCGAAATGATAATAATAATAATAATTATTGATTATTTTTATTAATTCAACTAATTCAATTTATAATCAGGTTTAGTGACCAGTAAATTAGTAAAATGTGAAAATTATAGTTACTATATCGAATATGTATTAATATATCGAATATATTAATGATATATCGAATATATCGAATATATTAATAATATAACGAATATATCGAATATATATATATCGAATACGAATATATATTAACATATAGTTACGCGAATGTAAAAAAAAGGGTGTCGCATGTTTTATCTTTTTGAAATATCGATTACGTGATTAGTTAATTAGAGATCGATGTATGTATATGCGTGCGCATTGGAAAAAAAAATTATAATTATTATAATTAAGACAATAAAGGGAGAGAATTAATTATTAAAACTAAAATTTAAATTAATTATTTAAAATTAATTTAAATTAATTAATTATGGAAGAAGTTGGCGGCTAAAAATTATCAAAAATAAAATTATTGGAAATACATGTAACCCAATTAAAACTAATATGTCAAATGTTTTCTTTTTTTTTCAATAATTTCGTATGTGTGGAGGTAATTTTGTGTAATGTTTGAATATCGATAAAAGAGTTTTGGAAAGAATAACTGCAACAACAATAACGGCAATAACAACAATAACAACAACAACAACAACAACAACAACAACAACAACAACAAAAGTTTTAAACGATTTAAATGTTTTTTAGTTTTTATAATAAATAAATGAATACAAGTTGTTGCTTTATTATTATTTATGATTTATTATTTGTGAATGTTTTCTTTTTTTCGTCGTATGTATCATTGTAATGCATTCTTTTTTATAAATTTTTTTATAATTTTTTTATAATTTTTTTATAATTTTTTTTATAATTTGAATAACAACAAACTACTATTTTTTATTATTTTATTACCCACTTCAATAACAAATTATATATTAAAGAAATTAAAGAAAAATTAAATTATTACCGAAATTGACGCGTCGTTAAAATAAGAATTTATTTTAACAACAAAATTCCAATTATTTAAAGTAGTAAAGTAATTTTACATTATTTAAAGTATATTTATTTAAAGGGAGTCACCAGAAAAATAAAAAAATATATATATATGATAACGTATGGTTACTTTTATTATAACTTGTCTTTTTAATTTTAAAAAAAATTTTTTTTTAAAAAAAAAGCCACGCAAATTGATACAAATCAAAAATAACGATTCTGGTTTCACAAATGAACTTTTGTGGGGTTTGTACATAACTTTTCATATGTTTGCCAACAATAAAAATTTTTTGGAAAAAAAAATTACTGTATCCCGATATGTTTAGTTAAAGGCGCCAAAAAAAAAATAAAAAATTTTTTAATTTTGCTTTCTGTAAAAATTTTTAAAAATGAATTTAATTTTTTTTGGTAATCACTTCTCATTTAATCACAAATTAAATAATAATTATTCAATGTTTAGAAAATAAAAAAAAAAAATACTTGAAATAATAACAATTAATTAGAATTATAATTTATATAATTATTGACAATTTTAACAGTTTCACTTTTTTTAACCAACATATCTATGTATCTATGAAAATCTTCTATACATTGTTTTTAAAAATTATTATTGAAAGATTATAATGACATAATTGTTTTTGGTAATTTTATTGACAAAGTTATATTTAACAATTTATATTAAGTTATCATATAATTTTATAAATAATTATAAATAAATAATTAAAAATAAAATATTATAAAATTAAAATTGTTTGTTTGTTTCTAGAACAAAAAAAAAAGAATGACCTTGTGTAATTTGTGTAATTATAATAAACCAATGATTTTTTTTTTTTTTTGTGATTTCGGTTTTTTTCATGGACATTTAATGTTATTATTCCCAGGAAGTCACACATTGTTATCCCATTTTTTTATAAAGTACGATACAATATATTAAAGTAGTTCATGTATACTCTACAAAAAAAATTTTTTCTATGTGATATTGATTGGTTCAATTTGTAGTTGTACTACAAGTATTTTTATAGTAGGGCTTATGAGTGACTCACATAATATTTATTTACTACTTACAAAAATGTTATATATATCTCCCTTTTTTCAGGCGTTCACTCAGCCAGGCAAAAAAAGGCTTTAGCAAAAGTGTAAGTAACAACGCGAAATTTTTTGTTAAAGAACGAATAATATATATTATATATACCTCGTAAAGAAAACGTTATTTGAGTGTGTATTTAATCACTATAATAACTATAATAATTTATCGACACGCTGGTCGAAATTCCTCGCCCTTTTAGTTATTTTATTTTTTTTTTACATAAATTTATTTATTATTTGTTGCTCAGCTCACCTTTATTACGAACTGAGTAACTTATTCCACTTTGTTTTATTTTAATTTAATTATATAATTATTTATTTCAAATATTATGGCATACTTTTACATGACCAACGGTAATCACGTTGGAAATGATGTCGATTGAGCATATTATCGCAAAAACCCAACATTTTTTTTTACGTTGTATTACATTTGTATAATACGCACTTATCCATAAAAATTTCTCAGCACTCTCAGAATAATATCTACAAAAAGATAGATAAATAGATTGCTGCAAAATATATATATATATATATATATATTCTTCAAACAAACCAACATTTTAAAAATTACAACAAAAATTTGCATTGCATTATATTCACATCAATTCATCATTCATCATCAATTCAAAAAATTCAAAAATACATTTTTGTGTATATCAAACCTAAAAATAGCATCTTCATTTCCTTATCTTTATTTGTCCAACAATCTAATTTAAAAAAATTTTTCCCTTCTCCGATAATTTCACTCAAATGGCCCCAAATCACCTTTTAATGAACGTTGATAGCACTATTTTATTCGCACCAACCTACACTGGCGCCTACGCTGTACCCGCATCGCCCGATCACAAGATATTTCAGGTGCAGTTTCCATATCAAATGATCACTCCATCCAACATCGTTCATCCAATGACCGATAATGAAATTATGTCGTCCCTCGCCCTTGCGAATGGTATGTCAGATCAAAAAACCTTTCAAGAATGGTTGGCCGTTAGCGCGAATAATTCCTTGGAAACCCCTGTTATGCAAGCCCCTTTCATGATGGACGAAGATCTCTTTGATCCTAGTGATGTAATGTTAGGTAGTCCAACTGAGGACAAAATATCATCCGGCTTAAATTCCCCGGTTACAAGCAATTTTGATGAAAATGATTCCGAAATGTTGGGCGGATCTTTCAGTAATGATATCCTTTTGGATGATGCTTTACGTTCTTCATTGGATTTCTTTGATGATTCTAGTTTCTCTGCTTTAACAGAGGCTGGTGCTTTATCTCTGGTTTCTCCTTCTATGTCACATTCACTCCATCGTAGAAGATCAATTAAACAAGAAGATTGCATTGAAGCTTATATTAAGATTGAACAAGATAACGATCAACAAGATCAAATCATATCACATGTATCAAATAGCAGTAAGTATTATTTTATCAAAAGAAAAAAAAAATTCAAATTTTTGAAGGAATAAAATAATGATCAATTACAATTTTTGTTATTTGCCATTATTAACATTATTTATTATTTTTTCAAAAAAGGTGATTCTTCACGTCATGAATCAGAAAATTCAGCGGGTGAAACAGCTTCTTCTCATACTAGTCCTTTTTCTACAGCGCCACCTTCTCCTCATCAACAATCTTCTAATGTTGCATCAGATACAACTTCTCTTAAATCCAAATCTGGAACGACCACAAAAAAACACACAAGTACAAAACCACCACGAAATTTGGAATGCTTTAATTGCGGTGTAAATAAGACTCCCCTTTGGCGTCGCACTCCCGACAGAATGCATTCGTTATGTAATGCTTGCGGACTTTATTACAAGCAATATAACACTCATCGACCATTACATATTAGAAATAAACCAAGTACTAATAATGGACCTTATAATCTTTCAGCATCACGAAAGAATACAGCTAATAATAGTATTTATTCAGAAAATGATGATAATAACAATAATCCACAGTCTTCATTACAAAATTCTCAACAGCAACAACAAGAACAACAACAATTACTATCACCTTCACCACCACCACCACCACAAACTCAACAACCTCAACAACCTCATCTACAATCTCCTCCACCACAACAACTATCACAATCTGTTGTTACTATTGTAGCCTCCTCCAACGAAGCTCCTATTCGCTGTGTAAATTGTGCTCAAACGCAAACTCCTTTATGGAGAAAAAATGAAAAGGGACAACCCATTTGTAATGCCTGTGGATTATATGCTAAATTACATAACAGAGATCGTCCAGTTGCTATGCGAAAGGCAAAGATTCAACGTCGTCGTAGAGATTGGGGTGCAGCCAATGGTAATCCGAATGGAAGTCTCGATGGTTCAGGATCTGATGGATCATGTGATTCTAACCCTCAAAGTCCTACATCTCCTCACCAACATCCACTTACTATCCAAACCCTTATACCTGGACAACGTCCCATCATGCCTCTAGTTTTTCCTCAATCACAACTTACTAATTCACCGATTGCAATGGTAGCTCCAGGTTCAATGCAACATACTTACACTGCAGTTCCATTTATGCCTCCACAATTTGATTTTGATGATTCACGATTCAAGGCATTAATAGGAAAAATGTCACGAAAGCAAGTTGAATCATTTCTTAATGTTTTGGAAAGACGTTGTGATATTCTAAAACAAGTACTAGATGATGAAAATTGTTAAATTACTTAATCATGTTAAGTACATGTGTGGGTGGTTATTAACGTTTTTTATTCTGAAAGGAAATTGAATAAATTGAGTGTAGATAATGTAATCTTTTGTTAGATATTATCCTAGTCATTTTTTCCCCCGAACAATTCTACGTTTTTTTTTTTCTTTTTTCTTTTTTTTTTGGTTTATTAAATTGATACGTATATAAGAAAGGCGAATTTTTAGTGGTTTTTCATATGACTTCTATAAATGTGTTTAATATATTCTTATCTCTTGCATATTCTTTTTTGGTAATTATTTTCATCGGCATACTCTAGTAGAGGGAGGAGTGTGAAAAATCATTTTTTTTAAATATTTCTTTTGCATGTTATTTTTCGTTATATTTGTTTGAAACAAACCAACCCAAAAATTCCATTTTTTTTTTTTTTTTAAAAAAAAAAACCAAAGATCAAATCAATTTGAGTGTAATGACAAAAAAAAGAATCACAAATATAAAAAAATTTTGAAAAGTCAATCTATAATCATGCAATAATTTATAATCTTGAATATATAAAAAAAAAAAAAAGATGCAGAGATCAAATTTTACCAAGGAAAGAGCGAGACGGAATGACAAATAAAGTGTGACGGAGACACGGGAAATTTTGTATAAAACAATTCTAATTTTTACATTATATCATTTAATATAGTTTCTCATTTACAGTTATATTTGGTTAAATAAATCATCCATTTTAATAACATTTTTAACATTGATAACATAGAATAAAATTCAAAAAAAAAAAAATATTCATCCAAATTATTATTTACATTAGTAATATCCCCTTTAATAGATTTTTTAATGAACTATGTATATATGGAACATAAACAATGAATTTTGATTGTTTTAATTTTTTTTTTTTTCATAATAGTCAATCCTTCAATCCTTTTAATATTTTTGATGCAAATCTTTAAAAGAAAAATAATTAGTCATTCTAATTATAAATTGCATCCTGAGAATTCTTATTTGTATATATTTTAATAATTATTATTTCAGAAGAAAAGGTTGACTCTTATCTTGATCATATTTCCAAGTTGTATATTTTATAAAGTCAATAAACAAAATAATTTTTCTATTTCTTTATACATGTGTGTATATACATATATAATTCTTACTAGAATTAAAGAAATTTTTGAAATTTGAAAATTGCCAAAACAAAAATACATAAAAGAATCATTACATATAAATCGTAAAGTTTTTTTTTTTTTTTTTTTTTTGAAAAGTTTATTCTTCGTATTTTGTAATAAATTATAGATAAGTAAAAATAATAAAACTACATTATAATGTAAATTCTTGGGACAACTTAAAAAAAAAAATAATAATAATAAATATAACAAACATAAAATAAGCGAAGTTTAATACGATTGTTTTCCAATAGTTTTTTTTTTTTTCATTGCTAGCTTTAGTCGTTTGAAATCTCATATTTAATAATTTCTTCAAACTGTGCAACAAGTTGTGGCCAAGGATCCAAACATTCATAAATTGCAATTTCCCATTCCTCGTCAGAGATTTCTTCTCGGGATGCAACTAAAATTGATTTGAATTCATCGTTCAGGGTTGTTGCGGGTTCTTCTGTTAAATCTGTTGTAATAATTTTCCCACCACCGAAATTAAAACCACCATTTAAACTACAGGCGGGAGACGAGCAAGATGAATGACGGGATTGTGATAAATGATTTCCACCAAGTATACTTCCACGTCGTTTAGTCTCCTGACTTAATTCCTGTTTGGCATTAATGAAAAATTGTGGATACGAGGTTTCAAGGTTTTCCAAAATTTTTGGATAATCTCTAATTGCACAAATATCCAAAAGACCAATATCGTTTTCTTCGAATGTAGAAGAATAATAATCAAAAGGATTGTATCCTTCATCAACATCATTTTCTTCATTTATGTCGTTTTCATCAAGATTGTTATCATTTATTATACTAGAGAAATCGTCATCATCGTTTTCGATCTCGTTGTACCCTACGATTTCTTTGAATGTGACCAAAAGCGTCGGATTTGGTTCCATGTACTCTGATATTGCAGACATCCATTCTCCATCGGAGCGCTCATCACGTGGAGAATACAAAATATTAAGAAATTGGTTCCACTCATTTTCATCCGGCGAAAAAATACTTTGTTGAACCAAATCAAAGTATTCTTTATTACGGTTAAATAAATCCTTCATTTCCGTAGCACGGTCCACGAGAGCAACTAAAATATCCGAATTCAAATCACGAACCGAGATATCAATTGATGTAGTAGGTGAACCAATGAAGAATTCATCTTGAATTGGTGGTGTTGCTACCATATAAGAAGAATCTGGATTTTCGTCATTAAGTTCTTCGGTAACTTCGTTAGTATTAGATTCATCGTCAGGAACCAGAAAACCGACAGCACGCTCTTTCTCTTCTTCGACAATTTTAGGTTTGACAAAATTGCCAGTGTTACGTTGAAGAGTATTAACGAAGAGAGGTTTAGGTTTAACGTTGGTCAGTTTTGAAGAGGTTTGATTAGAATTTACTTTAGGAGATTCAGTCAACTTAGTTGAGGAGTTATCACGTGATTTTGGCGCAGGATCCATTGTTCTGAAAGAAAAATTATTAAAAAGAATACGTTATTTTCTAATAACTAAAATAATACGGGTACGACGTGACCAAGAATTTTCATGCTAACAAAAAAAAGGCTGAGAAAGTTAGTACAAAAAAAAAAAAGAGAGATAACTTACTTAAGAATTAGTAAACGTGACGCGAAATAAAAAAAAATATATATATATATATACGTAAACTTTGAGCAAGAAAAAATGAAAGAAAAATTATATATAATCTTATTAAAAAGAAATTTACTGCTACTCTAGATTATATTTTTTTTTTAAAAAAAAAAGACGAGCTTTATTAATAAAAAATATCGAGGTTTTTATTTAATAGAATGAGAATTATTTTTCGATATTTTTAATATAAGTAAGAGAAGAGGATAATCGTGTAATGTGAATGAAGTAATACTTTTTAAATGATTCTTGAATATGACGTCTTTTATTTTTATTGCTGTGTAAGCATGAAGTCATTAAAGTAAAGGTGGTGTAAGTACTATCATAACGCTATCATTAGCGATAGAGTTATATTAAAAATTAAGTTGGCTATCTTTTTTTTAATTTGAGTGGTTTTCTACGTTTGGAAATCAAGCAGTAGTGAAACAGCCCCAGTATGCCTCGAATTTTATGATTTACAAATGCAGATTAAGATGATAAATGAAGAGAAACAATAAATTGATCATTACCTTTAATGTTGTGTTTCTCACGACTATTTATTGATCAAACTGATAACTCTTTTTCAATTTAGAAAAAATAACTGTGGTACGACTATGAGTAGTACCGAGGCGTATCGGATAATAATATTTAAATTTGATTAATGTGAAGTTTTCTAGCACTATACTTAAAAAATGGATAATGAAAGATCAGGCGGGTTACTCAAAGGGAATAAATTACACACAATTTTTTATCTTGAATTGGAAATATATTTAAGGCTGTAAGAATTTCATGGCTCAGATGAAAAAAAAAAAAAAAAAAAAGCAATCGGACTACTTTTTTGGGAAAGATTGATCCGTCGATTTATTTGATTGTCAATTTGTAAGAAATGACATGTTTATTACAATATTTATAAGAAAGAGCAAGTTTTTTCGAAACACCAAGGTTTTCTATTGTGACCTTCTTTTCATTTATTCATTTTAATGGTTAAAAATAAACAACAAAAAAAAACTTGAATATATATATTTTTTATAAAAAAAATCAATCATAATGAGATAATAATAGTTTAATCAATTAAATCAGATATGATTGGATTTAAGATAAGATGATGTAATATCTTGAATAACCTGCTATTTTTGATGAACCTTATAATACTTTATTAATATCATACTTTCTAGATTTGCTAGATTCATATGCAAAGCAAACTGAGCAGATGCGTTATACATTTATAAAAATAATTTTTATTTTTCTTTAACTAGACCTAGTTTTTTTTTATATTATTTTTTTTAAAAAAATAATTTGAATTCATTATTTTTTTTTAATTTCTTGTGTCATGTACTATATAATTAAAAAAGAATTTAAAGCTTAGAAATTTGTAAAGTTTGTAGATTTAAAATTGTAAAATTGTCAGGGGTATTTTTGCAAGGATTATAAAGTTGAAAGAAAACAAAAATGCTTTGATGACTAACTAGAAAAAGAAATTTCAAATATTTACAAGAAAATTTTTTTGTTACCACACTATTATTCAAGAAATATTAACCGAAGGAACCAGAAAAAAAAATGCCTAAAAAAATTATTTTTTTTTTTTTTTTTTTGGAATTATAAATTTAAAATTTTTTTGGGATTTATAAATTTTGATTTTTAGAATTTTTTAAAAAAAAGAATTTTTGGGAAAATGTTTTTGAGTGTTTTTTTTTTTTTTTAGAAAAAAAAGAATGTCTTTTTCCTATCATATTAGAAATTATGTTTGAAAAATGTCAATTATTAGTGTGAATACTTAGTTTTCTTTAATTTTTGATTATCTCCATTATTTTCATCATCTTCCCCACTACTCAAATGATGTATTTGTCCATGATAGATATCTCCTATAATGTGAGATGATAAATAGTTCATTGTAGATGGAGTCGATGAATTGTGATTTTCCGGAATGCTAATAATTCCACCACCTAGTGATTTATTACTAACAATGGTATCTGACATTATACCTCCAACACCTCCCCCGCTTCCTCCTCCCCGTTCACTACCACCACTTCGTCCATTATTATCTTCATGTGCTGATATAAGTGGTGTTTGTCTGTTATTCGCTTGTGAAGTTGTAGTGGTTGTTGTTGAAATTGATGTTTTTAAATGTCTACAATGTTTATCTACCATTTCAGATAATCTTTGTGTTGAGAATGGTTTCAATAAGATATCTGAAATACCGATACGCAAATAATTTATAAAATCAGTTTTGGAATTACTTGGGGGAAGCATCCCTATAATAGGAATCGTACGATTAAATTGTCGGATTTGTTGAGTTACACTCACGCCGTCAAGATCCGGCGTGACAATGTCCTTTTAAAGCACAAAAAAAAAATAAATAATAAATTTAAAACAATATATAAAAATATATATATATATATAACAACACATAAAATAATCTATTATAAAATAAAACGACAAATACCATAAAGACTAGATCATAATGTTGTACTTGTAACTTGTTCACTGCAGTAATTCCATCTGCAGCCATGTCACATTGGCATCTAAAGATTTGTAAGAATTGAGAACTACCTTCTCTAATCGTTACATCGTTATCTACTATTAAAATTTTTGGTTGAATTGTCCAATTAGGTACCGAAAAGGATGTCCGACCACGATAGTAAAGTCTATTGTTATTTGTTATTGAGGTTTGCCCTGAAGACGGAGGAGTATTTGTTGGTGTCGTATTTCTACTATTCGTGGTGGTGTTGGTGGCAGTTCCTGGAAGGTATTGACGTAAATTGATTTGGCTTAAGTTGTAGGAAGGCGATTGATTATTAACGTTGCTTGTATTTATGTGAGATGTATCAAATGTTCCTCCTATTGAGGAAGAAAATTGCGGAGAAAATGAAGATGCTGTTTCCGGGCTTATTGGTGAGACTGTCATCGTACCGGGCTGTAAATTAAAATTAACATTTAAATTCGCGGTATTTACGCGATTTGACATATCAATTGGTATGGAAGATTTATAATTTACAGAATTATTTAAAGATGTCAAAATTGGTTGTTCATTCGAAATTTCTTCAGATAAATTTATTGTTTGATGAATTGTTGATGAGGATAATGAATTTGTGGACAATTGAGATAATAATGGTCTTGTTGCGGATGATGAAGATGATGGTGGCGACGAAGTAGATCCCACGCTAGATAATTGTTGAGCATGGGATTGTATTCGACCTGTAACATCCATCAATTGGTTGAAAGTAGTATTTACATTTTCAATATTTCGTGGAACCATATTTCCCATAATCGAGGATGTTAATTCACCTGTAGAGTTTCTTTCACTATCTTGATATTGTTGTTCATGATGGTGAGGAGGACGTGAAGGTAAATTATTTTGAAATTGTCTACCCTGCGTTCGCTCTATAAAATTAAAAAATTAGTTAAATTAATTAAATTAATTAAATTAATTAAATTAATTAAATTAATTAAATTAATTAAATTAATTAAATTTGATTAAATTAATAAAATTAATAAAATTAGTAAAATTAATTAAATTAATTAAATTAATTAAATCAATAAAATCAATAAAACCAATAAAATAATAAAAAATTGAAAAATCTACCTTGACTTAATTTTGTCACTAACATTTGATATAAATTGCTTAACAAAATGTCTTGCGCAGCAAGATTTTGTCTGAAAGTAATTATTTCTTCTAAAATTGTACCACAATTCTTTGATAAGACATTCATTTGACCTGTTAAATCGGTGTGTAATTTCGTCAAATGTTTTACTTGAGATTTTAAATCCGAATTATTATTTTCATTATTATTTGGTAATGTTTCGCGGGTTAATGTATTATTATTTTTTTTTTTATTATTATTATTTTCAGCATTACTGTTACTGCCACCATCGTCTGGTGATGAATAATCGGTTATAGGTTGTTCATCCAATTTTATTTGTTCTGGTTGAGTTGATGGTCTGCGTGGTGTTGGTATTTTTCGCTAAAAATGTAAAAAAAAAAAAAAAATAAAAATTGGTTAATTTTCAACAGATATGTTTATGAATTTCAGATTTTCAAAAATATAAAAACCTTTATTTCTTCTAATAAATCTCTCCGATTCAACTGAAATTTTGGATGTTGAAACTCCCATGCCTGACATATATAATATATATAATATAAAAGAGATATATTTATATTAAATTTTAATATTTTTAATATTTTTATAAATGAATAATAATTTGTATTATTTAACAATAATTTAACGCGTAAAAAAAGTCAGGACACGATCACGTGGAACTGAGATATATATTTCCATTGATTTTAGGACGATCGAAAAACATTTTGTGATTGGTTCCTTTCGCGCATTTACCAACCAAATCAGATATCATCCATTTTTTTTTTTTTGTTGTGAATTATATATAGAGAGATAACCATATATGAATCGGATAGATAATATAGATAATAATAATTTTTTATATTAATATTCTTTTATGATTTTTATCATTAATTTTTTACCTGTTCGTTGTAAGGTCGTGCCTCTTCATCATTGCTTTTTATCTTGTGAAAATCGTATTTATTTAATTGCCTCACAAAACTTGCCATATTATTGTGTTTAAAATGCTGAGGTAAAATTGTTTTGGCGAATTCTGTAGGATCGTGAACAACAAATGTATCACCCGTAACTCCCCACGAAACAATATGAGAAAATGTTTTATCTTCAAGCATCCTATAAATATATTCATTTTATAAAAAAAATATTTATACATATATATATATATATATATATTTAAAAAAAAAGGAAATAAATATTAAATCTTTTTTAAATTTAATTTGATCTTGATCATCAATATAATAATAAAATAAAAAGGAATGTTTTTCATTAATGCAAATATTTATAATGAAAATAAGAATTTCTGGTTGTATAAATAAGTGACGAAAAGAAGAAAATCACGATTTTGAATAAATAAATATTAAATTAATGTTTTTTTTTTAGAAAAAAAAACATCAAAGAAATAAATTAATTACGAATTTGATTGAGGTATCAAGAATGTTTTGACTAGTTTATGTATAACGTATTGAACAAGAAATGAGAAATTTTTGGGAAAGACAAGATTATCTAAAGTATATAAAATTCATTTCTTTTAGATTGCCCCAAGATAAAAAAGTAATAATATATGAACTTTAACCTTAAAATGTAATAAAATGTTTTAATATAATATTGAGTTTTTGATTTTTTTTTTTTAAATTTAAGAATTTGAAAACAAATGAATAATTTTACATATTGAGAAGCCATTAAGAAAATTGATATTGAATATTTAATAGATACTACTTAAAAGGGAGATTGTAAATAAACGAAAAAGAAACGCGCTTCTAAGGAAAATACCAACCTATAAAGCCTCTTTATAAAATCCGCGATATTTGCTGCGGCACAAGTCATTTTGGGAGGTCTTCGATAGTTAAAAGGGATTAAATATAAGAGGGGTCGAAAATATATTAATTGAAGACCCCACAGATGGTCATTGCAGAATAATATTTAGGAACAAGAGGTTTGATGATAAATAATAAATAATAATAATAAACAATAATAATTCTAATAATAACACAATAATTAATAATAATAATAAAATTAATAACAAAAAGGTACAATTGTATCTAAAAAAAAAAAAGAGACTGAAATCAATGTGCGTTTTTATAAAAATAAATAATATTTATATAAATATATTTAAGTGATTTTTTTTTTTTTTTGTGATTAATTTTATGGAATATAGAAAGAGGATATTTGTTAGTTTTTGGGTGATGATGTTGTAGTGTGTGTTGTATATTGTGTAGGGTGTTGTGTTGTGTTGTGTGTGGTGTGGTTTGATGTGTGGGATGGTTGATGGTAAAAACTTGCTAATTGCTGGTAATTTGGATAAAATTTTATAAGATAAATATGATATATTTGATATAATATATTTGATTTATATATTTGATATATTTGATCACCAATAAAAAAAAGATAAAAGATAGTAGATCTCACTATACAGTATATAAATAGTAATAAATAATAAGTTCTTGTTGTGGAAAAGAAGTTGTTACTTTTATTAGTAAAAAATAAATTATTATGTAATTTACACGTTTAATGTTATTTTTAAAAAAAGAATTAGATCAAAGATTTGCATCCTTCATATATTGATGTCGTGTGTTTATTAATTGAGAGTTCTTTAAATGGTGTGTAGCATTCAATAAGTGTTCAATAAGTGTTCAATAAGAATTCAATAAGTATTCAATAAGTATTCAATAATAAAATTGTTAAAATTGTTAAAATTGTCTTAATTTTAGTAAAAGTTGAAAATTTAATATTCAAAAGAAAGCTATAAATAATTTATAATAATTTTACATAAATTTTAAAGTATAAGTTAATTAGGATTTTTGGGATTCAGTATATATTATTAAAAGTATTTATGTAAAAAAAAAAGAGAATTTTGGATTTACGGATTTCCAGCCGGAAGAATGTAATTTTTTAATCATCACATATATAATAGAAAATGAAAATCTTTCATCTGAAAAATTTACAATTTCGTATTTTTTTTTAATTTGAGAACAAAATTTCAATAGGTGGAATCAATTTTTCATTATATATGTTTTTTTTCCTTTTGTTGAATGACTAAAACCTTTAATTTATTTAAATATATTTACTCTATTTACTATATTTAATATATTCGATACATTTAATTTTTTTTTTTATTTTATTATATTCTAATTTAATTTAATTCTAATTTAATTCTATTTATTAGGAACGTTTAAATACTAATAAAAATTAATACTTAATACTTTAATTAAATAATTTAAAATAATCTAAATTAATCTAGCAAAAAAAAAAATACTCCAGATTAATAATAAAATATCTATAACACATAACAAAAAAAAAGGTCGATTTGATTTTCGCTGTTTTTCAGGAAAATCCTTTGTTTAAACTTGGTTAGACTCAAGTTTTTTTTAAAAATTTTATGTTATATTTTTTTCAAATAAATAATAATAATAGTAATATATTTATATGTAATAATATGTAAAGATGTTATAACGAGAAATACTTAATGCATTTAAATGATTGTATTAATCCATTTATATTGAAGCTATGTTATTAGTATTTGTGTGACAAATTTTTAGATATTATATTATGAAACTGTTTTAGGAGAATCCTCAAACATTCTTAATAAACATTCCACCAAAAGAAAATTCAATTTATCATATTTTAGCCAGTTCAGGTAAGCACTATCTTATAGTTCACTTTTAATTTGTTAAAAAAATGATTTAACATATATTTAACATATATATTATTATATATATTAGAAATATATTTAACGCATATACAGTATTTAATATGTATTTTTGAACCTATTTTTGATCAACTACTTGCTTTGATTTTATTCCATAAAACTAAAAATTCGTTCTTAACATAATTCCTGATACATTATAATTCATTAGTTTTTTGAATTTAGAAAATAAAAGTGAAGATAATATTAATTTAATGCGGAGTTTGTGTTTTGGTAAGAGTTTTCCATATTGATAAATTCAGTTGATTAAACAATGGATGTCGTAACTAATGTACATCCCGAGTTTATTATTTTTTCAATAGTAAAGTAGCTCTAAATTTGGATTTACTATTGTTGATTATTACTGAAATTTAAATTAAGCCAGTAAACATTTATAAACTAACAACAACATTGTGCCCGAAAACTTTATAACAATAATAATAAATAATAAATAATAATAGAGAAAAGTTATTCCTCACCCAGTCATATTGTTTTTTTTAGGGTTAGGAAAACTTTATTTGTCACATATCATTTTCACCTGATAATCACTTGTTAATATTTGGTAATCACATGAATTTATATTTTATCTATTTTATCTCGAGAAATAACATTACCCATAATAATAAATAATAATAAATAATAATAAATAATAATAATATAATAATAATAATAATAATAATAATAATAATAATAATAATAATAATAATAATAATAATAATAAT